CAAAATGGTGGAACATTAAAAGTGGACAAATGCGGATTCTTGGATAAAATACCGGTTTAAAGATACAAAATAATGTTCACATTTTGAATTATAGATTTCATTTTTATTAAAAAACGATAAAGTAATGCATTTTGAAAATTAATGTTGTAGATATTAGTACAACACACCGAATATATGTATTAATGCATCAAAGTACAGTGCATAGACGTACTATAATTTGGTAATTAAGCCTTGTAGGATGATTCAATTTAATTGACTTTGTATAGAGTTCAAGCCAGATCATGTATTTTATTTGGATAGCATCACTGGAGACTCAATATGACTGTTTCAATATACTATACTGCAGTCAATTTAACGGGTGTTTCAAAAAATGATTTCTTTATTGCTCATCTATCAGCTTGCCTAGCAATACACAGATGGAACATCACATCTTCCTTGTCTCATAAATAATTTTGGAAGAAAAAAGCCTTGGTGCATGTGAGTCATTTGTTAGGGACATTAACCTTGGTCAGAAGATGACCCCTATTGTTTTCGAGGTCAGTGAGATGACAAAAATGGATTATATTATCAAGCAATGTATACTTCAGTACTTTCAGTGCTTTGATTGTATTTTGGTTTCCTGTTATATTGCTTCAAAAAGTTACTCTCTGGCCAATAATGTCCTAACCATCATTTGATTATGTTGCCTTCTTAGCAGTTAGTATAGTATTTTTATACGAAAGATGTTTACATTTTGATATTTTAATGACAGGATATTCCACAACCATTGCTACCTTATTCAGGCGATAAGCATTTTATATGGTCTTAACCACTATTTAAATAATAAGAAGAAGAGTTTATTTATAGAGTACCTCGTTGTTTCAAGTAATAATATAAAAAAAATAACAATGTCACAATAATTAGGAGCTAGTAGCTAAATAAAGATAAAAATAATGCGACAAATATATAGAATAAAGAATGCATGCACTGTACAAATAATTTTAACTATTATTATCATTAATGTACAAAAACCTGAATTTATCAAGAGCTTTAATCATCACTCCTAACAAAGGTCCACAATAAAATTGACTAATTTACTTAAATTAACTGTCAAAGATAAATAAATTACTTCATCTAGTTGGTAATATTACTATTGTTTAAGGCACGTACTTGGAGAATGGAAAAATACGAACAAACAAACTTATATTGAAACATTATAAATGCCTTTTCTAAAGGAGGAAACAATATTTATTTCTTGGTCATAATGTGCCTTTAAGAATTTGAAATGTTGGTGAGGGAATATATTGTAAGAATATATATGGTAAGCCATATCTGTCCTTATTTCTAATCAGTATTCATTTGCAAACAATTTTTCTTTTCTTTGATCTATGCAACTTTTACTAGATTTGCATGTTTAAAGAATTTTGAAAAAAAACAAGATAGATAAACATGAAATTGATGACGAGGATGATGTCATATACACGGGTGTTGAAAATGATCGCATTTATTGATATTTGTAGTTCACCAGAAAGTTTTTTTTTGTTTTTTTTTTTTAATTTACCAGGGCAATAGCACGGTGTAGCACTGTGTAGCACTGTGTAGCTACCGCATCGTTCCTGGGCAAGCAGTTTGCCAGTAGTAGATGCCTTTTCGTAAGGACATGCTTGTAACATGGTAACATACAAATATACAGAGCCGATTACCGTATGCACGATTAATCACAACGAAATTGGTCCGCACCGTCCGGGTATCGAACCCGGGTCGCCCGAGTCAACCCAACGCTCGATCAATTGAACTAACTGGGTGCTGCTTTGGTCGCATTTATACATTTATTCATCACCTTATAAAATGTAACGAAGGAACTTTCAGCGTTGGCTCCACGTGATCATCACTAAATGCACGTATATATATATTTCATCAAGGCTCGTGGTCAAAATTTTAATATCAAATCCATATTGTATTCCGCGGAGTAACCCTGTCTAAATGTAAAAAACAAAAACAAAAAAAACATTGTGTTGTGAAATAGCGCCTAGTTCCAATATAGGATTTACAGCATAGAATTCAGTATTGTTCTCAACAATGTATATCAGCCTGATACATAAATACTTGTATTGTATTATAACAACAAATAAATGATTAGATTAGATTGTAAAGTTATGACAAGTTTTTTTTGTAATTTAAAGGGAAATAAATAATCATGGCATTGATCTATTACTTATTTAACCCTTAACATTGAACTCGAAAATGATAAGTCTTTCTCACCAGTATAGAGCCAGGCCAGCCTGCACATCCGTACAGTCTGACAAGTCTCTATTCTATTGTTTGCTCGGATTTTGTATTTTTATATTGAAATTCCTTATCCTTTCAATGCAGTATTAAAATTTAAAGCACTATGCCTCCATATTTATGCTCATTTTCATGAAAAGTTTGAAGAAAAAAATGTATTTAAAAGTAAAATAATTTGAAATGAAGAAAGATATTAATTTACACATTGTAAACGGCGCTTACAAACCACCTAAGTTACCAAAAATGGTCAAAATATGCAAAAGTAATCCTTACTGTGTTACTAACGCAGTAGAAATATAGTTGTAAATACTGAAAAATCAGTCATTAATCGCATAAAACATGTAAAATATTACTTGAATCTTGAAACCTTTTTACTTTTCTTTACATCTAAGTACATTTGTCTCAAGTTTTATTTTATTGAAATATTGTGACTCATATGGGGCCATGTAGCTTTAACCTTGAACTCGAAAATGATAAGTCTTTCCCACCAGTATAGAGCCAGGTCAGCCTGCACATCCTTGAAGTCTGACACGTCTCTATACTATTGTTAGCTCGAATTTTGTATTTTATATTGAAATTCCTTATCTATTAAAATTTAAAGCTTTTAGTGAGTATCTCGTAAATGGTCAACGGAAAATACACAATGTACGGTTTCATGCTTAACAGACATGTGTCTTTTAAATACACTTAAGACCAACGTTAAGATATTGTTCTCATATTCATAAATGATCCATTATTTTCACGGAAATTTCAACAAAAGATAACGTTAAAAGATCATCAATATCATCATTACCATTAGTATTATTTATTATTGTTATTTTTTTTAATTTCGTCATAATAATAATAATAATAAGAAGAAGAAGAATAATGAAAATGATAGTGATTATTTTTATTATTATTATTATTATTATTATTATTACTATTATTATTATTATCATTATCATTATCGTTATTATTATTATTATTATTATTATTATTAATAATAATTATTATTATTATTATTATTATTATTATTATTATTATTATTATTATCATCATCATCATCATCATCATCATCATTATCATTATCATCATTATTATCATCATCATCATTATCACCATCATCATTATCATCATCATCATTATTATCATCATCATCATCATCATCATCATTATTAACAGTTTTTTTATCATCATTATCGGTAGCAAAAGCAGCTGTAGTAGATGCTGTAGTATCATCATAAGCAACAGCAGAAGAATAAATCATCATCACCATCATCATCATCATCACCATCATCATCATCATCACCAATATTATCATTATTGTATTTTCCAAAATACCATTAAGATTAAATTATCATCATAGTACATGATTGCCGAAGTGTCAATATAACGCATGCGCAAACCGTACATTTTTTCTTTCAATTTTAAATCGTTTAAGGCCAATTACAGCTCAGATTAGCCTGGGATTCAGGCGTTGATATTTTTTTTATTTATTCATAACTTACGCGCTATTTCATACTCGATCGTCATAGATAACACAACATCTCTGGTTTTGATAGTGTCGATTTGCCGAACAGAAGCACATAAAAAATCGACAGACTGGAACCCAGGCTAAGCTCAGATATGCTTTTTTATTTCTCAAAAGCGGTGGTCTGTTATAGTTTCCAAACAATTTCTTCATTTTTTTTTTTTTTGTAAAGAGTTATTGATTTTGTACTTACATGAAAAACAAAGTACTATATTGTTAACGTTTTGTTACTTTTATGATAAATGATTTTTTATTCAGTACTACTTTCTTCATGTGACGCCCGTGTAACATGATCTAAAACCTTTATTCAATGATTACAAAAATTATGGCTGTCAATTCTAAAGACAGAAAAACTTAATTGTTTCTAAGGCATAATAATTTATGTGCCTTTAACTTTTTTCGCCTTAACTTTCAACAAAATCAAAACAGACTTGCTCTATATTAAAGAAGGAACAAAAAATGAACTCCTAAGCAAACTGTTTGTGGGTTTTATGTTCCTTTTGGCGCTTTTTACAACGTAAAAATAATATTCCCTGTGAATACAACCTAAAAAGGTGTGTTTTCCTATTAAAGGGACTCCACTAAGGTTTTTTTTACATGACGGGACTGGAAATAATTTTTCGAAATTATTACTCCATTTAATATAGGTCTATACCAACACATTATGCGCAAAATTTCAGATCATTAGCTAGCTCTCTTTTTCCAGAATAATTATTGAAATTGTGAAAAATTACCAAAAATTGAAAACCGTTGCAACGCTTTTCACTCAAATCGGACTGAGAATAGTACAAATATACGATTTTCAATGTATTTTTGAGTATATTTCTTAGTTATATTTTATTTATATTTCTGTTTTATTAGCCTCGATTGATATACATGTATGTGATAAATTAAATTTTATGTTTGTAGGCTTATAAATCTCAGTGTAGTTCTAGTAAATTATTTTTGTTTCAAATTTAAAAAGCAATATCATTGGGGTTTCTTTAAAGCCACGGTGATAAATAACGATATGCATGCATATAGAAAAATCTGCTATAACTATGATTCATCGCCGTATTACATGAAAAGCATACGCATGCGCACACCTGACTTAAAATTCGTTATCTTGCTCTTTGTTAACTATAAAGATATGCTTGTAAAGGAGGCCTTTAAAGATTATCTAATGAAAGTTAATGAAATCTAATGAGATTTAATCAAATTATACATCAAAACGACTGTCAACTCA